GTAGTGCGCGAGTTTGATACCGTGATCTGCAGAGATACGGTCTTGCTAGTGTGTTACTTAGTCTGTTGTGCGGGCGCAACAAACAAGTTGTGGAGAATGTAAATTTACTTGATAGTAGGTGTGTTGCTCATATTGGTGCGATTTGGAGAAGCGTCAGAGGGTCAACGGTTGACGGTTCAAATTGACTTCAGTTACCCAAGTTGCATGCACGTTCTGACTATCATTGCGGGACCCTCAAACGATTGAAGATTACAAGACTCTCTCCTGGGAGTTAAGTTTGTCCCCCTCCTGTATCTCGAGAGTCTTAAACCCCTCATTCTGTCCTTCTTACTCTCAATCTAGTCCTTTTACGAGAGGAAGGCAGCAGGCGGGATTGCAACTTGTAAGACCGCAGCAAGACTCTGTGGGGAGTCAGCCCACTAATTGCGGGAGCTCTGCCGGAACTCAGGAGAGTTCTGGAGACAGGGAACAGAGATGTAACCATTTGCTTTCTCTTTATAAACTCAGTTATAACCTCTATCTGTAATTCCTGCTATGTTTTGACTGTATATACTGTATGTATTCCTAGTTTGACTTTTTGTTTGACGTTCAGGACAATTCAGACTTAAGTAAAGGAATGCATATGTAATGTCAGTTTCAGTTTTATTGTCTGACTGAAAGCAGATTGTGGGATTGCATCTGTGGGAAGGATGGGAGGAAGACAGTTTTGCATGATTTTGACTGGGTCTATAAAAGGTTGGGCAAGTCTCCATAAATTTGGGGAGACTCATTGTTATGTTTATTTTGAATTGCCTGGAGAACCATACATGTTTCATAAGTTTTGGTGGTCTGGTTGCTCTGACTTGCGAGGACTGTCTGTGGATGACTTTTCAGGGACCAAGCATATTCCATAAGTTTGGGTGGTTTGGTCACCTTGTTTACTTTGAGTTTCTTTCAGTTTCTTTTTTTTCTAAGCGAGGAGGTCTGAGCATGTTCCATAAGTTTGGGTGACCCAACCTCTTCCTGCTTTGTTTTTAAGAAAATGAACCAGACTGAGGACCAAACATGTTTCATAAGTTTGGATGGTCTTGGTCCAATGCCACGCACATGTTGAAACCAAAAGGTTATAACTTGACTATACTTTATTACTATCCTACTTGTGAACACGCTAGTCAGACAGGGTTCCATAAGTTTTTGTGGGCTGACTATAGTTTATCACCAACTGAACAGAGTACTAATTAATAATAAACTTGTGGTACGAAGAGCTGACTGAATTTTGAGCTAAAGATTATCGGTTCAGTTATATGCTACCTCAAAAGACTAAATGAAGATAATTATATAAGGCTTGGATATTTAACCAGTTCGTGGCGACTAGGGTAGCCTAGCCATATGCCCAAAGAAAAGAAAAGTTGTTGTGCCCTGTGTTTGTGTATACTTCATGGCTGAGCTAGACATGTTCCATAAGTTTGAATGGTCTAGTTTTATGTCATATGTAAGCTGGGTATAAAGGGATAAATCATTGAGAGACTATGAACTATTGTTTGATAAATTGACTTTGGGATGGTGAGAGTACTTACCTTTGTGGTTTGGTCTGCATGACACTGAGTGTGACTACTACTTAGTCTGAGTTTCAGTTTAATAGGTAGTTGCTTTAGTTGCTCACCATGTGCTAAAGTCATAGGAGTTAGTTTCAATTTTTTCATTTTTCGAGCTAAGTTTCTTTTTTACTTAGGTCAATTTCTGCATTTTTTTGGATTTTTTATTATATTTGATCTTGTATAAATTTTGGTAAGTCACTTTCTCTACGGGAAGCGCTGCCGAAATTTATGCAAAACCAAGGAGTTCGTCAAATTTTTACTTTCAAAAACTCATTTTGTCTAAATTACATACATGACTTAGTAAAATCTGGGAAGTCTCCTTTTCGAAAGGAAGTGTTGTCCAATTTTTTGCTGATTCAAAGAGTTAGACAAAATTGAACTTTGGAAAGTCAAAGTTATTTTTTAGACTTTAAACTTAACTTTGTATAAATATTGGAATAACACTTTTTCTACGGGAAGCGCTGCCGAAATTTCTACAAATCTAAGGGGTCAGTTGAACTTTGTCTTGAAGTCGAACTTAAGTGTAGCTTCTGAGTTCCTATCTGACTTAGTATAAATCTGGGAAGTCTGCCTTTTTAAAGAAGATGCTGCCCAATTTTTTACTAATTCAGGGAGTTAGGCAAAATTTTGAGTTTCCAGAATTAAAGTTTGATTTTTGTTTTCATATTTGAGTTATTATAAATTTTGAAAAGACTCTTTTCCTACGGGAAGCGCTGCCGAAATTTTCTTAGTTTAGAGGAGTTAGATTATATTTTGACAGGTGACAGTTTTGGTAATCCACTATGTATAGAGGAGATTCTGCCAAAGGTTTACCTTTTCTTTAGACATTGACTGAGGGGTAGACTCATGCTTAGTTAACTAGGATGATTCTTTGTGAAATCGTGATGTGGAGATTACTCTCGATTTGGAATCATAGATTTAATTTGGGGATTGACATGTCTTGTGTTACAGGTCCTCTTGAACGTTTGATTCGATATCGGGACTAAATTCAGCTTGATCCTACAAGGATCACCTTCTGCTATCCCTGATAACATGTCGGTTGTCGATTCGTCGGTCCACGACTCAACTCCAATTCATCCTCAATACCCAACCTAAAAGGTTTTAGCCCTGGTGATTTTTATTGTTTTATTAAGGTTTTCACCCGGACTTTTATTGAATGGTTATTAAACAAAGGTACTAAGTATTTAATTATGGGAGGTTGAACAAAGGTTGGGGCTTGCATGGCTAAAGTGAGGGGTATGAGTTAGAGATTGGTTGAAGTTGACCCCGTGTAGTGTGTGGACTTTTTGTCGACTTTTTGATGTGATTGCAGGTATGTTCTGTGGTTCAAATTTTGAATTTGACTCCCTGCAATCACACACATATATATAGTTGTGAAGAGTCTCACTGTGGTTGTGAGGAGTCTCACTGTGGTTGTGAGAAGTGATTGTCACATACTTATTCCCCCTTTACATATATATATATATATGTATGTACCTATATTGGGTGTTCGCGTGGCATATGGGGCCCACGCTTAAGGATTTAATTGGGGTCGAGATTGAGAAATGAGAGAAAGTCTTGTTTTATTGTTGAGCGTTTCTTAAAGATTTCTTAGTTAGACGTTGGTCCTGGGTCTGGATTCGAGGTCCTTGTCCAGGACATTCTAGGTCATAGACTCTGCATGGAAGGGATCACCCCTCGTGCAGAGCCTGATTGCCCTGCCTACCGGGGCACTCAACCTAAAGGTAGGAGATGCCGCAGAGGCTGCATGGCTAGTCTTTCAACTGTGCAATATCGTGAAGGGGTAGACCCTCGCGATACTTCGAGTTTGACACTTGAGTGTCATAAGCGGTACTCGGATCCACGAGGGACCGCTTGATTATGGGCAATATGCCATCATTGCGACTGCTTGCGTATTCATGCATTGCTAGTCGATATGAGAAGGTCCCGCGTTCGCACGGTTTTATACTAAGTCTCGCGCGCGACGTCTATCCGATTTCCGCATCAGAAAGTTATGTGATGGCTATTAAGGGACTAGGAGTGTTGTTACGTTGGTTGTTCTGTGTCGTTCTGTATATGTATGTATATGTGTGTGTGTTTTTATTTTTTTATGCTTTTTAGAGTGGTGTGCGCGTGGTGTGTGAGATGCGTCATAGTCGATCGACGACGGGTCGCGCTTGGGACCTCAGCCCGCCCAAGACGTTGGTGCGCGCGCGGGTCCGATAGAGGCGTAAAACCGCATGTACCCCTATGCTACAGCGTACGAGAAACGCCCTCGGCTGGTCCACCTCTGCGATTGCAGCTGATTAGCTTTCGTACTGTGGCTGGTAGCTCGGCAGGGATACACCCACCAAAGGGAGGTGACATCTCCCGTAAGGTGGAGGTAAGTCATGCCTTGTGTATGCCCTATTTTGTCATAGGGGCTCGTGAGAGGTATGGCTGGCGCACTCGGCCGGAGCGGCTTGCAAAAGCTCCATTACGTATTCGTGATGAAGAATAAATCAACTCCTGTGTGACGTGGCCCAAAGGGTCCCGCCCCGCCTTGTGCGGTGCCGGACCGATGCGCTCGACACCGGCTAACGCAAAGACCGAGCATTTTGCCAGAAGCGGCGCCTCGCTTCCTCATCGTCCCCCACCCCTCATTGAGTAGCAGCAGAGGCTATGGCCAACACTCTCCCACACACCGCACACAACCCACTCGCGCTTGCACACCCGTGTTGGTCATAGACCCCGCTAATACCGAATCATCAGGGGTATCCAGAGGACTATCACAGTCTGTTTGCACTGAGTGCGCGTAGGCGGTCGTGGGGCTTGAACCCACAACCTCCTGAATGCCACTTGCGTGCCTAACCAACTGAGCTACGGTAGGCCGCTGGATGGAGAGAGAAGATTAGCATCGCCCCTGCGCAAGGATGACACGCATAAAAAAATAAAATAAAAAAACAAATTCTTGGCCGCTAAGTCGCGCTGGACTCGCGCGCAGGTAATCCTGGGGAGCGCACGTGGCCGCTAACACAGGGTTGAGGGAGCGCCCGTGACAACCTTTTCAATGTTTTTGGAGGGCGGCACTGGAAAAGGACCGCCCCTACTCTGCGAGTCTGGCCAAGCTACGAAAACTTGCTATTGCTACTGTGCTCTTGGCTATGTCTACAGCTGCTGCTACTACGGTAGATGGAAACGTACACACAGACTCAAACGCTATGGTGGACTATGCTCTACTCTGTGCTGTGATGGACGCACACAAACGCACCCACCAAGAACACTCATTCGCACGCACACACCCACCCGTCCACCCACCCAACCGAACACGCGCTACACTTCGGGGTGAACCTCAATAGGATTTGTCGTCGCTAAGCTCTTTTACGTGCTGGAACTTGGGCTGTGCATCTTGAAGGTTGGGCTCTGATTGGGCTCGCCATCTTGTGAAGGTTGGAAGCTGAGGCTCGGGTTGTGCATTGCATGGAGGCTTTCAGACGAGGCCGCCACCATGACTGAAGGTAGGTAAAATCTCCTTCACTTTTGTTTGGTTCCCGTCCATTTTCTGCTTCGTTGGTTTCTGCTGTCTCTATCGATCGTCCGATTGATCAACTTAGCAAGTCTGGCACAGACACACACACACACACAGAGAGAGAGAGAGAGAGAGAGAGAGAGAGAGAGAGAGAGAGAGAGAGAGAGAGAGAGAGAGAGAGAGAGAGAGAGAGAGAGACTATTCTACGCTACTTTACTGCGCTACTCTACTTGGTTCAGACATGTCATCCACTCGATCGATCGTCCTGGCTTGGGGGGGAAAAAAAAACAGAACTTCTGTTTCACTCTCGCAATCGTCCGATCGACCGAGGTGGCATGTCTTGCAGCACGAGCTACCACGATCGATCGATCGATGAGGGAGAGGG